AACTTAATATAATGGCAACAAATGCTGAAAGAAACTGAAATTTTCAACATTATTAAAAAAAAAACACTTTTAAATCGTAAACCTTATTTTAAATTTTTGTTTGTAGTTCAAAACGCACAGTGTGTACGCACCTTTAAAATATACATTTCCATATTTACCATTACAGATACAGAAATTATATATTTTTTCATCATAAACCTTTGTTCAAAAATAAATAAATTAATATAATGGCAACAAATTTTCAACATTATTTAAAAAGAAAATTTTTAAATTGTATACTTTCATAATTACTTTTAGATACACGCAGGAAATAGAAATGATAACAAAAACTAATTAAAAATATTAAATTTAATTATTTAATCATAAATTTTTCCACTAACCAATAAAATAAATTTTTTATTTACGCTTCTTTTTTTCTTGTTTATTATTTTTGCATCGGGATTTTCGCAGGAAAACCGACAGAAAAGAGAAAGCGAAAAGATGCAAAAAAACTAAATATAAGGGAGCTGCGCGCCGTAATACAATAAGAAAATTTCGCATGCAAATTCTGCATCGTAAAGTTTGCTTATTTCGAAATCTCGACCCCGTACACATTTTAAATAAAATTTAATGCGATATCCGCGCGTTTTTTCTTCCTCCAGCAAAAGAAAAAAGCTCGACCTATGCCCCGCATTTTCTTTTCTTTCATCCCTAAAAACCAACTTCGAAACGAATTACACACGCACACAGTGAGGATTTTAAAAACGTTTAATTCTGAAGACCGAAATTCAAATTAAAACCTTCTACATCACAGAAAAAAAATGTAATTGCTGCATTCTTGCAATAGAAAAAAACAACAATTTTCGTTTATTAAATAAAAATTAAAGTGTTTTATTTCTATAATTAACGTACAATTGATGAAACCTAAATTTTTTTTATATATTTAGTAAATAATTAAAAATCTGTGAAAATTCATCAAATTTAAAAAAAAATAGTCAAATATATTTATAATATTTAAATTTATTAGATTCTAACAATATCAACAAGAGATTACAAGGAAAGTTTGATTATAAGAGATTTTTCTAATAATATTTTTAAATTACTTTTATTCATGGAATAAATATTTGAAGATTTTAATATGATAATATTTTCATTTTTTTGAAGGGAGGACGAGGATTTCAGTAAAAGCGGCAGCAGAATAAAAGTATTTAAGAAAGTTGGATTGGCTTTGATGGAAGTTTGGGGCTAGGGGGGTGAAAGAGTACGAGAAAATGGAATACGAGAGAAAAGAGATGTGTGTAATAAAAATATTTTCAATTTTCGCGCCGTGTGACATGGGACGGAAGTATCCACGAAAACCGGATGTAAATGAGAGTCGCGCAGCTCCTCTCCCAGGACGGAGATAAACATTGCTGCTGCAGCAGCAACATCCCTCAGGTGCCTGCAGCAGGTGCAAGGCGATAAAAAGTTAAACAGTTTCCGAGCAGTTCGAAACGCTGGGTTTTACCACAAAAAAAGGAAAGGACAAACTGTGCAAAAAATAAAATACAGGACTTTTCTTTTTACATATTATTTTCATCCTTGCAGAAATGAAAACCCACCGATGGAAAAAAACTGAAATTTAATGCATTTCCTCAAGAACGACGATGGAGGAAATAACGTGAAATAATAATAGTAGTAATAATAATGGAGAAGAGCGGAAGCCACAGAGAAACTTCCTTAAATTTTAAAGTGCGGATTATTTCAGCTTCAATCTGAAACCAACAAAATTTTCAATTTCCTTCTCAGAAGTAGAGAGAAGCCGCTTATTGTTATCATGAGATGCAGAATATACACAATTTTTAACCGCTTATACAACTTTCAGTGCTTTGCAATTATAAAATCTTATTTTTTTTTATGCAATAATCCAAATAATTGATACCAAAAATGATTATATTTATTAAAGACAATGATCATTAGGTGTGTACACAACATACGTTAAAGGTTACATTAATTTTGGAAAAATTACACAATTTATGAAAAAAAAAAACATAAATCTTTCAGGTTTTTAATCGCATATATAAAACAATGCTTTACGATTACAAAATAATATTTTTTCTATACAATAATCCAAAAAAAGTTAGTTTTAATTAATGATCATAAAGGTGTTAAATGAGATATTGTTATTTGAAAATTTGATATAATTTGTACTGAAATTATGATTGTCCAAACCTTCTACTAAACTCTTAATTTTCGAAATTTTTATTTTATTTTTTTTGTTGCGTCACAATTCACAAGAATGAATAATCAAAAAATGTTTTTTTTTTCTTAGATCCAATGATGGTAAAGGTGTGTATACATATGTATTAAAAGAGACATTGTTTTTTTCTTTTAATTTTCACAATAAACTCTTATACAACTTTCAGTGCTTTACGACTATAAAATATTATTTTTCTATGCAATTACTACGAAACAAAGTTATTTTTTTATTAATCACAATCATCATAAAGGTGCGTATACACCATACATTAATTGAGACATCAATTTTGCAAAATTTACACAATTCATAAAAAATGAAATATACATCCTTCATGTTTTTAAACGTTTATACAAAACAATGTTTTACGACTAAAAAATCATATTTTTCTATGTAATAAACCAAAAAATATCTACAAAGAGAAAGTTGATATACCATACATTCAAAAAGACAATAATTTTGGAAAGTTACACAATTTATGAAAAAAACATAAATCTTTTCAGGTTTTTAACCGCATTTGCAAATAGTGCTTTAAGATTATCAAATCATATTTTTTCTATGTAATAATACAAAGAAACTTAGTTTTTATTAATGACAAGTGCATATATAATAAGTAAGTCATTAATTTGATTAAATTCATGATAAAAAAACGCAAATCTTTCAGATTTTTAACCCTTTAAACAACTTTCAGTGCTTTACAATTATAAAATCTTATTTTTCTATGCAATAATTCCAATAATCCAAATAATTGATACCAAAAATGATTAGATTTATTTATTATTAGATTTTAGAAAGACAATGATCATAAAGGTGCGTACACAACATACGTTAAAAGATACATTAATTTTGGAAAAATTACACAATTTATGAAGAAAAAACATAAATATTTCATGTTTTTAACCGCATATATAAAACAATGCTTTACGTTTATAAAATAATATTTTTTCTATACAATAATCCAAAGAAAGTTAGTTTTTATTGATGAAAATGATGATAAAGGTTTAATAAAAAATTTGATATAATTTGTACTGAAATCATGATTGTCCAAACCTTCTAATAAACCCTTAATTTTAAATTTTTTTTATTTATTTTTATTAAAAAAGTTTTTTTTTCTTAGCACTAATGATACTAAAGGTATCCTTGTTTTTTTCTTTCAATTTTCACAATAAACCCTTATACAACTTTCAGTGCTTTACGACTATAAAATATTATTTTTTTATTAATCACAATCATCATAAAGGTACGTATACACCATACATTAATTGAGACATCAATTTTGCAAAATTTACATAATTTATGAAAAATGAAAGATAAATCCTTTATGTTTTTAAACGTTTATACAAAATAGTACTTTACGATTAAAAAATCATATTTTTTCTATGCAATAAACCAAAAAATATCTACAAAAAGAAAGTTGATTTTTATTAATGATGAAGATTATAAAAGTATATAAACATCATACATACAAAAATATAAAAACAATAATTAAGTTAATAATTATAGAAAATGTATACAATTCATGATAAAAAAAAACGCAAATCCTTCAGATTTTTAACCGCTTACACAACATTCAGAACTTTACCAGTATAAAATCATATTTTTTTCAATGCAACAGTTCAAATAAAGTTATTTTTTAGTCATTACAAAGATCATAAAGGTGCTTATACATCATACATTAAAAGAGACATTACTTTTTGAAAATTTACACAATTTATACAAAAAAAAAAGCTATAATTTCTATTAAATTCATGATATTATTATTAATTATTTAATTTAAACTAAAATAAAATAATTCTCTCAAATTTATTTTACTCAAATTATTGATTTATTATTTTTTTGTGTTGCGTTACAATCGCAGAATGAATAAAACATTGAGCAATAATTTTCCATTTCAGGCGAACTTTCATATCGAACAATAACACTCGGAACGGGAACGACGTCCAATAGTATTTATGATTTTTTTGATAAAAAAATATATATAAATGAAAACCATTCGGGATTTCCCAATTTCGCGGAACGAACATTTTATTTCCATCAAAAAGAAAAAGAAAGAAAAAACGAGAGAAATGAACGGAAAACGTAAAGTAAGTCTGGACTGTCGTAAAAAGACGAGTAACAGAGATCATTTCTCCGAATCATATTAGGTAGAACGACATTCGCGATTTATACAATTTTATTTCATAGCTCGTACTAAATATTCTGACTTGATTTTACACCGTCTTTCTTCTTTTTTTTTTATTGAACTACATCCAAGTTAATACTTTGCCAAATTTTTAGTTTTTAATGTATTTAGTTCACAAATTTATAAATTATCATAAAATATTCAATTTTTATTACTAGAAAAGAACATTTTACATTGATTTTACATAATACACCTAAATTAAGTAAGAAAATAATAAGAAGTTATTTGAAAAAAAAGTTGGAAACTTCAATTGTACTAATATATTTAGAAAAAATACAAAAATACAATACATATTTACAATATGGAAAATCCTGAATTTGATGGAGACACATACAGACATTGCACTAATACAGTTTTATTGGATGTCATAAACGCAGGTACAAATAAAATTCATACTCATTTTAATAATGACTTTTCGGAAGCAATAAAACAAAATAGATTATGCTACCTGCTTACATGAATATACCCCTACAGGTAATAAGGCAATAAAAAAAGGTATCACTTGTATTTGGGAGATTAGTATAAATTAAGGGTTTAGCAAATTGTTTAGCACAGTTTATCGCAAACATTCGTTGGAGTAACAACAACAGCCAGATACTTAAAATGTCTATTTACAAAGAAGTAAAATCAATCCAAGGAAGAATTGAGGAGTATGTAGAGGGTGAAAATAGAAACCATTTGCAGGATTTGGCAATGGTGAAACTATTAATGATGTTATACAATATAGTATTGAACCAAAAGGGAAAGATAGTGGCAGAAACTGTTAAATTTGTGGACGAGTTATGTGGGAAAACCAACGGTATTATACAAAAGACTGCATTCGATGTCCTCAGAGAACTTGTTAACAAAAAAGAGGGTTTCAATAATATCAGGGAACAAGTCAACCGGGTTACGTCTAATAACAATCATATAGTGGTAGGAAGCCAAATGGAAGAAGAAAGTTGCAGAAGAGAAGCTGAATATAATTTACGAATGAGTTTACTGCAACAGGAACACGAGGAAAAAATGAGGGAAACTTTGGAGGTAATGAAACAGAAGCAGAAACAGAGTGATGTCCAAATTAAGACCAAGGGAGAAAAATTGGAAAAGGAGAAGGAGTTGGACATCCAAATTGCGAATATGAGCAAAGAGCAAAAAGAGAGAGAGGAAAAGGCTCGTGAAGCTAAAAATGAAGAGATGGAAAGGAAACGCAAGAGGGAAGAAGAGGAAGACAAAATATCTGAAGAAGATGCGAAACAAATCGATGAGATGTTGTTAGAATCAGAGGACGATTTAGAAGACATGATTTTGCAAATAGAACAAAATTTATTCAATATATAGGCATTTAGTAGATAGGCATGTCTTGTAAATTTGATGTATTTTTTCTATTTAATATATATTTTCTATAAAAAGCTAAATTTTCGTATTACATTTTTTTTTTTCATATTTCAGTTTTTATTTTCAGTATATTTTTGCATTATTGTATTTAATGTAGTACTACAATTATAATGTCAACGAACGTCAACGAATTGCAAAAAAAATGATTAAATATTTAAAAACAAATTAATTTGTTATTTTTATGAATATTTTGCCAATCGTTAATTTTTTTCCCATTAAACTCTCCATTAGTCCAGGACAATTTATATCACCATCTTCAAGGACTCACTCAACAAATCTAGTCCATATTAGTTGTTTATAATATGAACAAGTTATATATAAAATTATTATTTATTGGTTTACTTTTTTGTCTTTAGATATTCCATATTTTTCAAATTAACTATTTGCAATTAATCTAAGTAGTACATTTATAAGTTTTAATTGGTTAGTTTTCATTATGTTTTAACCAATCAAACTTTTTCAAATTATAAAAATATTTTGTAAAAAAAATAATCAATTTGATGAAATATTCTGAGATTTGTTTAAATTATAGAAAATATTTCATTAATACAACATTATCAAATTACAAAATTTAATATTATTCATGGAAATCGTATATAAATTTAAAAATGTTTTTTTATTTGAATTCACATTTCTTTTGTGACTGATGTAATATTATTAACATGAAGAAATAATAAGGAAAATTAAGTAAAACAATTTAAGAAACGTGAAAGAATTATAAGTAAAAACAATCAAATTTTAAAAATTTGTGTTATTTTGATTTTGGGGCAGTTCTGAATAACCATGGAGGACATAAGTGAATGGAATTCGAAGATGATTTCTGGAGAAGGATTCGGATTTTGGGAAATGAAGGAGTGAAGACTGGAGTTAACAATGGTTTCGACAAACAGGGAAAAGGAAATGTTTTTTTTAATTTTATAGGATTTAGGGTAAAAGGAATTTATATTGGAATATAAGACACGGATACTGCTATCCATTCAAGAGAATTAATTTAGAGGTGCCCTTCGTAGATAATGTGAGCGACTCATGACCTGGATTGTCCTGGTTGAACATAAAAATGTACAAATAGTTCCCCGAGAAGCACACGCGGAAGTCATTTACAAATCGTTTTTTTAGATTCTGAACCAGTGCAGCACGGTCCAAATGCTTAGGGTTATTGAGTTTGTTCGTAAAGGTATTAATTATATAGTTATGGATTGTTAACGCACCGTGGATCCTTCTATCCTTGGAGATGGCTTCGGGAATTTCTGCTGTTTTCTTATTTTTGGGTTTGATTTTAGCGTGTGGGATACCAGGAATAAGTCGTGTGGGTCCCTTTGGACACTTCATGGACCAAGCCACGTGGTCCTCCGAATTGCATGCCGCACACCTCGGCGGCAATGGCGAAGAGCATCTGTGTGTCGGATGAGGTCCCTGGTACTTGTTGCATTTAGTTATATTGGAGCATTTCTCATTGGAATGTGTACTTTTGGCATCGTCCACATGGCACAGGCACTGGAGGTGAAGAAATACTCTCCTCAGCTGGGAAGTGACTGTTTCCATAGAGGAGTCCTTCTTGTAAAAGTTTTTCGTATGATGTCGTACAACCAGTGATGATATTATTCGTTTACAGTAACGATGATTGATCTTGTTATTGTTTAATTGCGAGTTTATTTCATCGTCATTTATTTAGAGATCAACTCTGATGAGAACACAGAATACAGATGTTTGGTAACTTAGGAAAAGCACTTTCTCAATGGCTGCTTATAATGTCTCTGCCCTGCATATCTGAGGTAGGCGATTACTGATATTTTGCACGTCTTTGATTTCATCAGAAACCCTGATTTGGTGAGTATTACAACATCTGAACGGTTGCAGGTGTTTTTGGACCAATCGTTTTTGGTCCTGGTCATATTTGTTGCAGTTTTTACCACGAAGGTATTAGTGTAGGTATTTCTAGTGGTTTGTGAAGTCGAAGACTGAGCAGATGTAGTTTTTGTAATTTTCGTTGGAGTTTTAAAAGTATCATCGTCGTTGGATTCGAGTACTTTTTGTGTGATGGTTTTTTGTTTTCGGTGTTTTTGTTTTTCGGCCTGTCCCGCTTTTGCTTGCCCTGTTCCAACACGCCACCCGTGGGCTCGGAACAGCAGGACGAACTGTTCAAGCTCTCTATCTCCATCTTCATCTCCATCACCACCCCCAAGAAGAAGCTGCAGCCCCACACAGGCCGCCGATGAGCCGGTACACGAGGATAAGTAAAAAACACAGAAAAACTATTTACTGATAAGATACGGCAATGCACTCGTGCAGAACTCTGTTTACTTATATTATTTCTGATTATTTGAAATATTTTCACTTTAGTTTCAAATTTGAAATTTTTTAAAACATTATACACTTATTTATATATTTTATTCTAATAATTAAACATCTGTTCATAAAGTTCAAATATGTTAAATTTTATAACTTTTTCAAAGTTTTTTTTTGTTTAGTTAAATATAAATTTCAGTTGAATCGTTTTCAGTATGAGTGAAAATATGTTTATAAAATGTAAATTTCAAATAATATTTGTAAAAGTTTCTAACTTTTCCAATAGAAATATTTAATAATTTCAAATGAAATGAATATTGCAAATAAATTTATAGTAAACACGTTCATTTTCAAATGAAATATTTCTAAATATTACCCATATTTTCATAAATTTTGAGTATGTAACTTTAGAAGTGTGACAATTTTTTTGTTGAAATAATTTAATATAAACGTAGTTTAAATTGAATTAAATTGAAGTATGATAATCTTAAATGATTAATTTATGAATTTTCATTAAAATTGTAACAAGTTTTCTTACTAATACAAAGGAAATTAAACGTACATCAATTATTTTTTTAATGTTTAAAGGATTATTGAAATAATTACCGTTTTTCATTAATTTCATTGTCATTTTTTTATAATTCTTAATTGTTATTTTAATTAGTATAGAATTGTTTATTGATAACAATTGATACAATATTTTTGATGGATATAATAATTACTATTTCTTGAAAAGAAGGAGA